GAACATGTACAAATTCAAGGGTGGCGAAAATTATATCAAACAAGGCTAGCAGTTTATAAAGAGGGTCCAAGAATAGAGTGATTCTGGAGAGACATAGCTAAAGAAAGTGTATGAGGGTCCAAACATAGAGTGATTATAGACACTTATCTACTATATATTATTCATGCGCTTCATGCTGCATATCTAAGTGTTGCGTCGATCACGCACATTGTAAAGTTTCTTGTATATATTTCGCTCTATGTTCGACCCCCTGAAACTAGTACACTTTTCAGGCTGTCCATATTGCAATCGTTGTTGGGTATTATGTGGACCCCTGAAAAATGTACAAGTTCAAGGAGGTCGAACAATATGTCCAACGATGCTTGCAGCAAGTTGCAAGTTCGGTCTTTTCTCGTACACTGCATGCTGATTATAGATATGTCTTTTCTGATACACTCCATGCTGCGTTCATCTCTGAGTCTTGTATCGATCATACACATTGCATAGCTTGTTGTACATAATCACTCTATGTTTCGAACCCTTGAATATGTACCATTTCAAGGGGGTCGAAAAATAGATCCAACAACGCTTGCAAAATGCAACTAAGAACACACATAAACGATGTATCAACGGGTCCAAACATATACATCTTTTAACACCCTCTCTGAGAGCCACTGGTGCGGGCGGTTGTTGTCGCGATGCGCCTGAATATGCCAACATATCCCAATATACACCGTTCTCAAAATGATGAGATGTCTATCAATCTTGGTATGAAAGCCAAATGCAAAACAGGGTAAGGAGCGTCCATCAACAGTTTCCCCCTTGCTGGACCTTTTGGTACAGTTTCTCAACTTACATGTACCATTCATGCCAGGAATGGTGCATGGTAATGACTCGTAGGGACATGTACCGAATGTAAAAGTATCCAAAAGTACTGATGAAGTTTTACAGACTCCCCCGCAAATCGGATAAATCTATGAACCACTCTAGCTGTGCAAGGGAGACGTCCTGGGTCCCAGCAGAATCAATTAAAAAAAACAGGATCAAGTCTCTCCGGCGTTGAAGAACCACGAGGTGACTCAATGAACAAAAATAAACAAACTTAAATGTTTCTGTATTCGACTAGTATTTGAGTACCATTTGACCCTGCCTCCTAAATGATCTAAATGGACGGACGAATACAAACACCTGAAAAACACGTTTTCGGAGAGCTGTGCCTTCATCCTGATTCTGGTGTCTTCATCTTGTTCCTATAAGTCGATACATCATCTTGTCTTGAGTGTTGATCATCTTTTCATATCTTTTTACTGTCAACATAATGACATGGGAATACATGGGATATTTAACTTCCATCTACATCCCCCCCTTGACCCCTGACTCCCTCCATAAGGTCCTACGTACTCATTTGGAAGGAAGAAATCCTGCACCTGCGAAAGGCACAGTATTTGCTTCGTGCTCTTGTTGGTAAACTTGTTGTTAAGTCTTCCACTAACAGTATGTTGGAGGTAGCCTGAGAGGGTTCTTGAAACACCGGACCAGCTCTTCCCCTCTTGCCCAGTTGAGCACTCCGGCCGATCCAGCTCCAAGAGGGACTCCTAGACTTGGCCACCAGGTCCGACCAGTTGAGGGTCGGACCTGGCTGTGTTGCAACAACAAACTGTATGAAAACCTGAGGACAAATTTTAATGGAAATGTCTATTATCATTACGGGCATTCAGGGAAAACACCTTAGTAAATTATGGTCATTTTGTTGCTTTGGAAACCAGAAATCGATAGAAATAGAGCGACCCCTTGACCTTGCGGTTGTTTCAGCACGTGAATCTGCCGAGACGTGAGTCGACGCCCACTTCGGAACCACACCCGCTGGCGCGCTGCTTGATGCTGACGACCGAAGCGCCGCATCGGCGCAGTTCGGCGGTTCGGAAGATCTCGGGTGCGGCATCGGCTCACTTTGAATGGATGCGATTGGCCATCTATGTCCAGGAACAGCAGGATCGAAGAATGCAAAAAAAACAAAGGCAAGAACGCTTCAAACAAAATAGTCCGTAGCCTTGCTAAGGACCACTAAGGACCTGAACCTGAAAATGCTTCAGCCCACCTGATTGTAGCTGGTTAGCACATTGTTAGCACTATCCTTCACCTCCTCTGGGGGTCTGGGTCTTGATTTCGACTGGTCCGCATGGTCCGCGCGTTGGTCACTCGGCTCCTTGAGCACTGGCATGACTTTGACCTGGTCCGTACAGGTCACGTGGGCACCCAGCCTGGTCAGTGCGCTGCATGGCTGTCGGTGGGGGGAAATTTCGGAATCACTGTTCATGAAACTTGCGAAGCTAAGGGCTGTGCGTGTTTTTCAAGAGCAACGCCATTTCGAAGGAAAGTCACTCCAATTCACTCCCATTCCATTCTTTCCATTTCTTTCCCCTACACCACCGGTCTGAAGGGAGGCTCTCGTAAGTGACCTGAGGCTCCTATTCCTCAACCTCCCTGTGGAGCCATGTCGTACACATCGGCCAGTTGGAGGTGCCTTTGTTTAATCCGTTTGAGGTGAATATGATAGCTCCACTCCCTGTTGCTGGTGATCGGCCAGTGGAATTTTTCGACCAGTGATCCGACCCAAGAGGTGGCGAAGTCCACGTGGCGAAGGAAAAACGAGTTCGCAGGATGAATTGGCTGGAGGTCATGCCATACTCCCAAGTGGTCCCCTTGCAAGGCAGAATTGAAGGCACTGAGGAGTGAGGAGTGAGAAACTGTCGGAGCAAGGCAGGTTAAATCAAGCCTCATACTCTGGAGCGTTGGTTTTTATTCCAGAGCCGTTAAAGTGGAACAAAAGAATTGTTAGAGTCCTCCACCAAAGTATGTCATCAGCCTTGAATAAGCCTGAACGTTCGCAGTTGGGTCACGTTCGCTTTGTTCAGGGTCTTTGAAGACCATCGATCACCGGAGTCATCTCTCCAAACAGTCAATTTTAGGTGAAGTTCACTGGTCTCCCGGTCTCTCAGCACAGTGATAGCAGATCTTTCGGATCTTTTCACGACCGAAGCAGGGCTAGTAGGTCAAATAACTATAGATCTTTTCATTTGGTGCAGCTTGATGAATTGGATGCAGCGAATTAGCTCGACGGTTCTCATTCGCACCAAGGTGTCGCGGAATCCGGCAAATCCTGAAAACAAAGGGGCAGTGTCAGGTGCTCATACACCCCGAATCTGTGACTATCCCTAAGGATCCAGTCATACCTTCTCAGAAGGTAAGTGTCTCCAATCACAGTACCTCAGAGGGTATGTGGATCCCTAGGGTAGTGATTAGATGTTCAACGATGTTCAACGATGTTCAACTGTTCAGTTGTTTGGCATTGGGGTCGCCGCTTTACTCACAGCTTTGCACTTACTCACGGCTTAGCACTTACTGCGTACTTCTGTAGTATGTGGTGTCAACCACATACCACATCCACATACCACACAATGGTATTTATGCCAAGCGCCGCAAATCGACCCGAATCCAGGACTGAAGTTTCGTATCCTTCAATAACTGTCACGCAAACCCAACGAGACGTTCTCGCTCTCCTCCTTGGAAAGCTTCCCTTCCACGGCCGAAGCCTCAATCGGAAGCGGAATTGTACTGTTCTGTGCAGGTGCCCCCAAGGGAGCGAAACGATCAAAAGATCCAAACCAAAGTGCAAAAGGTTTGTTCAAGTGGATGTGTTTCTCTTTGTCTTTTTTCCAGTTTCCTTGGATGTCACAGTAGAAAACCCCTAGTGGAAACATTTGAGCGGTGTCAAAAACCATCCGGAACTTTTATTAAGATATAAACCTTTCGCCAATCCCTTCGCAACGCTTTCGCGGCTGCATGTTTGCTTTCGTCGACCCACTCCCACTTCACCCAACAACCTCTTTCGCTAACCCTTTCGCCGAGTTTCTGCTACTTACATCTAAGAAACATATCAGCAAAGGGCAATCATTCCTAATCTGCAACCACTGCTTTCGCCACATCTTCACGAACCTTTCGCCAACCTTTCGCCTGGTTATCAGGAATCTTTGATGACATGCTTTGTACTGAAAACCTCTCTCGCCAACCCTTTCGCAACAAAATGCGTTCATCAAAAATTCAGAGCCTTTCTCCAAACCTTTCGTCAAGCTTTCCCCAACTGCAGTGTTCCTTTCGCAAAGATTAAAGATTCATAATCTTAAGTCCTACCTAAATTATTCTTTCATAGAGGTTTATGACGTCATTTGGAAACTGTTGGATGATCCAAGTCAGGTGGAGCCTCTCCCACTCACCCTGTGCTCTCCCACCTCGATCTCCGCGTTCTCGTTCTGATCCTGGCCGGACTCTTCAGTCAGGTCGCTCGGGCGTCGGTGTGGATGACGGAGGACCCACCGCCCGGACTGTCGGGCCCGTCGTCCGCTTCGAGCACCTCGCGCTTTCACGGACCGAGACGGACGTGGATGGCTGCTTGTTCTGTGGCAACTTTTGTTGCGGCACTGGACGTCCCATGTTTGCCATAGTTCTGTGAAGGCATCGAGAACCACCACTTAGCAGCCCTGTCCTCAGCATCATCCTTCTTGGGACTGGTTGCAGGTGCTTTGCCAGTGCTTGGCCTGCAGCAAGCAGCCGTGAATCAGCCATGCCAATAGAGCATTGATGAAGACCATCTTCCCAACATTTCCCAACGGACTAATTACACTTCGACATTCAACTCCCATTGGCTGGTGGAAAGCAACTGTTCTCTTCGGGTAGATACGTATTGATATGATTATAATTATAATCTATAATGTTACTTCTTAGCAGCACCCGGAATCGGTCGCATGCGCGTCAAACCGGTTGAGTTTGTAGGAACCCGAGTTTGGCATGGAAACCCATGGTGCGTTCCAGGGTCACCAAAAACGAATAAAACAGGGCAAGGGGCATTCGAGTACACCACTTCCCCTCCACCACTTTTCCCATCGTCACCTGAAGACACACAGCTTGGAGCGTTGTTGCTCCCACTCAGAATCGCGCCTGGCAAAAAATTGTGAGCCAACATGAAATATCATCGAACAAATCATGGGCCAATCTGAACTCCCCTTCGACCTTCTTCGAAAGATGCTTGTCTCAATTCGTGCTGTGTTTCCCCGACAATGGGTCTCCAACCAAAAACAACTACCTTTGAGATAATGGGGGAGGGAGGACAGGCGAGGGTACATATTTGCAAGAAGAATTGGCTGTTGTCAATAATATGAAGATTGGACAGAGTTCCTTGGAAATTGAATCTCTAGGTTTGCCTGATGTGCCATCAATATCTAACTATCTAGTAGCTATCTGTCTATACACAGTTACAGTATACAGTCAGTAAATGATTATATGGTGATATATCTGCTCTCTGAAACAATATTGGGGCAACTTCAACAACTCCTTTCGGAGTTTGCACCCTGCTGGAGCAACTCCACCATCCCTTAGGGAAAAACCCAAGGTCTTGACGTCAGACAGACGGGATCTGTGCTTGTCTCGGCCTTTGTCCAAGGCCAAGGCCAACTCCGCTCCGAATTTGGAACAATTGATTGAGGCCAAGGCAAACTCTCCGCTCCAAGTCACAAAGGCAAGGGCAAAGGCCAATCACTTTGCCCTGTTCTAAAAAGTTGGTCTTTGTGATTAGCCTTGTGTGATTCTTGCCGACTCCGAATCAAACGACTCGTGCCAGGAGGACTTGGCCAGGGCCACGGCACGAGCCCGCTCCGCTCGCTCCTGAAACGAAGACAACTCAGAAGACCAGTTCAGGGAGACGTCAAGTGCGCCGGGAGGTGCAAAAAACCGCATCCGTGACTGCATGAAAGATCTAGCAAATCTAGCACAGAATGTAGCACATCAACAAACTGCCCCGCAATAAATATTGGAGTAGCATGACAAAATATATACCAAAATGAACAACATATCAGAGCAAAACCACCGGTTCGACGACTCGTTTTGCACATCTTGAGACTTGGCGATCGGAGAGGTTGTGATATGTTGTGACAGTGCACCCGAACACTGATTTGCTTAGCTTTCCAAGGGTATCGGTTTAAACCAAACCCAGGCGTTCACCGGGCCGGAGCAAAAGGAGAGGAGGTATCCAAGTTGCTGCTTGCCCTACAGGACTGAACATCAGATCTTTACTGATATCATATAAGATGAGGGCTGATGCGCCCATGTCTATATCCAGCACAAAAGACCATAACTAAGGCATGGCAAGAATAATCATGCCTGATTCCAAAATCAGTGGAGCTAAATCCCTCACAACAATCAATGATTCCTGCTTAAGATACTTCAAGCATGATTACTGTATGCCACTGACGAAAAACCAGCGGTTCCACCATACTGAGCCGACATGGTGCTTGAGGTCCTCGGTGGATTCCCCTGCTTTGATCCATTCGTCCACATCCACATTCTCAGGGATCATCACCTGCAGGACGCTCATCACAAAGGTCGCATCCTCCTCTTCTCCGAGTCATCAAGAGTCCACGCAGTTGCATTTCAGGCTTTGTATATGGCATCATGTCGTCAAGAAAGATCTTAAAATACGACTCATGTCGGGTGGATGTCCCAGGACAGCTCAGTCTGAGACCCAGGCTCGCTGTCTGTGAAAGGATCTCCCCCACATTATATATATATACAATAAAGCATAATAACATATAATAACACATAATGACACAATTACGTCCTGTATTTTTAGGACAACGCAAACAACTTTGCTTCCTGAAGGCAATTCGCTTCCACATGCCTCTGTTTCTAAGGTGTTTGGTGCTTCGGGTGCATGATGGTAGGCTTGCAACTACCCTTTCTGAACCCGGTGTTCTTGTATCCATGTACAGGGCTTGACCCATGCCCATATATCCCAGAAGTCCCAGTAGTCTACGGCTGGTCACAGGGATTCCAATCGCCTGCCCAGCACCGGTGCCTTCTTGCCAGACTTCCGCACCGGAGTGGCCGTCGCGGGCGCGGGCGACGGCAGCTCGCGATGCCAGGTGGGGGCCTTGCAAAGGAGCAAAGGAAGCAGTGGTGACGGACCAAGTTCTCGGAGAAATCAAGAAATGTGACTCATATGACTATTACAATCTATTACATAAATGGATGTTTGCAGATCTCTCCCAAAACCTATGGTCTGATCGAATTGCAGGACCCCAAATCGAGTGTTTTCGTCGTCCAAGGCGGCCAAGCACTTTTGTTTACCATGTTTACCCTCATTTGACTTGGCCAGTGCCATGCAACGGCGCCCTTCACCAACACATGTGTGGCGGCATTTATTTGGTAAATACACTATCTGTTATGTGGGGGCCCTATCTCGTTTAGACTACTTATATAAGTCGGAGGTCATGTCACACTATATCGTTCAGACTACTTTAGTAGCAAATCACACTATCTCGTTCAGACTACTTTAGTGTCATCAAGCAAAAGTATCTCGTTTCTGTGGGGGCCTTATCTCGTTCACAAGCGAATACTGATGATAGACAAGCAAATAGAGCATGCCGTAGACTACTATAGTAAAGCCTACGGGCCTACAGTAAATAAAAGTGGTTGCTCGCATGGAATGTGAGGTTGGTCGCCGGCTCAGCCATGTGGTCTCTTCATGTCTTTTCAAGCATGTCCTCTGGCTGCGTTCGTTCAATGCTTACCAGAAAGTCCCAGAGTCCCGGCAAAAAGTATTGTATGCACCCAACCCACTCTCCAACCCTCATGCCGATCCAAAATGGTAAGAGTTGGAGCTGAATTGCACAAACCTGTTCTCTACCAGCTGTTCTCCACCCAGATGTCCCTTGGCTTTTCAGAAGTCTCAAACAGTTCATTGGGATACCCCTCCCCGACTCCCCGAGCGAACCAAGCGCTCGCCACGTCGGCCGACCTTGAGAGGTGCCACCGCGGCGAAGCGTTGCTCCAGGTGTCGCTCGATGGCGGCCTGGCGAGACACCGGGCGAGCGAGAACTGCCCACGACCAGCGACACCGCGTGGACACCCGTTGTGGAAGGGCTTTTGGGGTCCATGCCGTTGTTGTGGTTGGCACCGTAGAGTCCAGAGATGTCGAAGGTCATTGTAAACCTGGAGCTGAAGGGACTTTTGGGGTTGGCTTTCATGACTTGGAATGGCATGCCGGAGGGTGTCACGGGTTCCTGGGATCCATCCCCCGACGATCCCAGGGATCAAAGCAGCACCGTGTAACGAGGTTCCAACTCGGGACACAAACGTGTCCTGGTAGTGCTGTGTACATAACGCCCAGTGTACAGCTGTGCTGGGTGTTCAAAGGATAACATACATAACATAGATGAACATATGAGTAATGAGTATGATTGAGTGTGTTCCATGATATAGATTTCCCACAATTCCAACGTCAAGGAACATCATCAACATGCTTCGACCCTCACAGCCTGCCGCCGTGCACACTTCACAAATCCGCACCTGCTCCCGAGGATTGGGATGCTTCTTCAAGAAGACGCGGGAGTCAGATCCTGCGTCTCCGAAAAACATCACATTTGGACGCCCGAGCCGGACGGATGGATATAGCCCGAGCCGGACGAGCGCCGGTCCGCAGGTCGGGACCCGGGCCATCATCTGTTGCTTCCAGAGTAGAAGCGTTATAAGATACTTTTAATATATATATATATATATTATATATATATATAGAGATACTATATACGTTAAGTTAATTAAGATCTTAGACAGGATCTCGAAATACAGCAAAAGTCCGAAGACCCGCTCAAAGCCCACTCGAGGTACAGGGCTAGTAACGAGTGTTGCAACTCCCTGACAGCCAAGGCGGATCTGGGGCACCATCCTTCAGTGCGTAGGGAATGAGAATGGTCAGCACCTAGGTCCAGGTGCTGAAAAGGATGACCAAATGACATCAGCTTCCACCAATCGACTCTACCAGCCTCGACCCCAGGGAAATGGAAGAGTTTTGACTTTTGATGTGTTTAGTTGTAGGAAAGATAGATATCGTTATGTGGTGTCCAAGCGAAACCAAGTAGTGCGAGATACCCCTGCAACCTGCTTCAGTGGTAACTTGGGCCCTGAACACAGGATACCCTGGCAAAATTTATCCCTGAAGAGGTCTTGTTGCGGAGGATTATGGCTCCCCCTTTCTTTCAATTCTAAAGAAGCAGTGGCAGGAGGGGCAAGGGGGACATTCACCCAACCGCATAAGTGTGTTTGATTGTTTTTGTCCGGTCATACAAAGATCTGTTTTGTCAAAGCGAACATTGGCCAACACAAAATGGTATCTGCTTTGTCAAAGCTGCTATGTTAGTGCCCCACTTGACTCTACCCTCCGACAGTAATGCTGGTGTGTGAAAGTCTCGAAGAAGTGGGTAATGAAAGGTTTCCTGTGACTATTTCCCGATGAGCCTTTTTGACTTCATTTGACTTCCCAGCTTCATAAACCTTTCCCGTATGTAGTTATAGGTTGAAACAATATGCATGCGTTTGCAAAGTTCACCCTGCAACGCTCCTTTGGAGCACAACGCACGAATGATGTCACGATACTTTCCATATGATCTTTCCATTGACCGAAGCAAGGTATTTGAGTCGATCTTCCAATATATTTGGGTGGGGTGTGGGATGCCGAAACCGAAACCGAAACCGTTTGTTCGGTCCCACCGGCGCGCGCGGGGACCCCGACCGTGCCAGGATGAGCTGCGCATCCGGGAGCCACGGTAGGTCGTCATCAGCTCGGGTGCCTCGGGGCCGTGCCCGCGCAGAACGGGCACCTCCGTGATATCCATGGAAGTGGACATCAGTGGACAATGGCCTACATATTGCAACTGAACTTGCCACCTAATTTTTTTTAACTTGATTGTTACTTGCTACTGCTCACTACTAACTACCTGCAGCTACCACTTTCTACTACGAATTACTACTTGCTACTACTAACTATACTAACTACTAACTACTACCTATACTGTATAACGACAAGACCGGATTAATAAACCCCCCCCCACATGGTAGGTCAACAAGGTCAACAAGAAATGAGATAACCACTCATGAGGTCCACTCCCCCTGAAATATCGGATCAGGGAGCCATCGTAGTCGCAGTCGTCATCGGTAGTAGGTAGTAGGTAGTAGGTAGTAGGTAGTAGGCAGTAGGTAGTAGGTAGTAGTAGGTAGTAGGTAGTAGTAGGTAGTAGTAGGTAGTAGTAGGTAGTAGGTAGTAGGTAGTAGTAGTCACAACAAGTTTAAACAAGCACAAAGAAAAGGCCAGGGACACAGGATCAGATTAATAGGGGGTAGTAGTGCAGATTATTGATGGGGGACCGGCCCTTGTGAGGGGTACCCTTTGTGAGCTTGTCAAATGATTGTGTTTAATTGTTTTTTAATAAGGCAATTTATAGGCCCTGAGCCCTAGACATTTTTAAGGATTTTATCAAACATGTAGCAGGTAGTAGGTGGTGATGGTGGTGGTGGTGGTCGTGGTAGTAGCACGTAGCAATAGCAGTAGCAGCAGCAGCAGCAGCAATAGCTACAGCAATAGCTAGTAGCAGTAGCAGTAGCAGCAGCAGCAGCAGGAGTAGTAGTAGCAGTAGTAGTAGCAGCAGCAGCAGTAGTAGTAGCAGTAGTAGTAGTAGCAGCAGTAGCAAGTATAATGTCAAGTCAGGATAAATAAACCTCCACTAGTTAACCCCTTATTAAAAGTAATATATATTTTTTTTGGATTGTGTAGGCTCGGATTAACTGGGGGGGTTGTTGGTAGAAAATTAGACAATAGGGGGGGAAATCAACAGCGAATAATACTTTTAATTTGGGCAATTTCCGGCGGCTTTGTGGGCTCGGATTAACTAGGGGAGGTTTATTAATCCTGACTTTGCATTACTACTTACCGCAACCTACTACTACCTAATACTACTAAGCTACTATTACTCGTACTACTACTACTACTACTACTACTACTACTACTACTACTACTACTCCTACTCCTACTCCTACTCCTACTACTACTACTACTACTACTACTACTACTCTTACTACTATGTCTTAACTTCTATATTTTTTGGCTTTGTCAATTAGAAACCCGCCAAACAGTATTTCAGGACAAACAACCTCTCCGTTGGAATCCGGATTCCAACCACGAAGACGTCCAACCACCGTGTTTCAACCGGCAGCTGTGGTTCCGCTCCATGGGAGTGGTCAACATCCGCTCGGTGCACCGCTCCGTGACGCTGCCGCCCAACAAGGCCTGCGGCCGAGGCAGCCCCATTTGGGTCAACCGCGGAATGGGGGCCCGGTCGGGAAGGCTGTGTGGTGATCTTCTTCATGAACCGCAGGAAGTGATATGGGAGACCACACTGATGGAGAGATGGAGATACCAAAACGTGTTTGTGAGTATAATGTACTTACAGCAAGCCCATGATGCCCATGCAAGCCCTACGACTAGGATCTTGATGGCTCTAGTCTTTTGACCACCTTCCTCTACATCATCTACCGACCCTTTCTACAGTCTGCCAGCATCTGCGCACCTCCTTGTACTTGCGGCGATTGCGCCGGAGCTGCTTCCTGAGAAGCTACTGAGTTTGTGTCGTTGCTCGACATGGCACCATGGCTTTTCGGTCATGGCACCGTGGGATTTTGACCAAGGAACATGAACAGAATAGACGACCTACAAGAGGTCATCTACCCGGGTCCACCGGGCTCCGGGCTTTGACCCTCTTTTGAAACTCCATGGTCCACCTCCTTGATCCATGAACCAGCATGAACCAGCATTGTTCTTAAGTCTTGAGTGCTGATAGTTGATTTGCTTTCTTTTGTGGCCCAGCCATGGCCCACAAACTGATCCCGACTTGCTTCCATGGAATGTTCTCAGTTCCGCCTCAGGGCACGTCGTTCTTCCGCCGCCTGCAGGCATTCGCGGTCCTGGCTTCGTCACAGGTGGGCTGAAGACCCTCTGTGGGGCCCGGGGTCGAACCGTAGTACTATACTCTCCGAGGCCTTCGAAGCGAAGTGGATGGGGTGGCAGGGCCTCCATGTCGGATGGCACGGCTGAGTTTTCCGAAGACCAAACAGGTGGTGGTAAAACCTCTTCCATGATTCGTTCAAGGAGTGATGAGCCTTAAGGCTACCTGTGATTCATAGCTTTTCATCCGTAGGGGTTCAAGTGATTGACCAACTTCCCAACAAATTCAGGGAGAACCGATTGAGACATCAGCAATTCAGTCTCTGAGACAAGGAAGTTCTAAAGAGTAGTGACAAAACAAACACATGACCTTCAAAGTGACCTTCTTAGTGACCTTCAGAGTTCCCAAGTGACCTTTGCAAAGACCATGACTCATGACCACATGAATTCGATCTCAGCCCATTGGCCATATGACATCCGTGGCCTCCTTTGCTGCAGGTGACCAGGTCGCTTGAAAAACACCTCTTTTCTCACGAATATCCCTCCCGTCCTCTCCCCCCGTCTATCGTGCAATCGAAGCCCGAAACGCCCTGCTCCTCTGTGCTCAACAAATCCTTTGAAAGACTGCGCGGGCGTGAGAGATGCGACAGCCTCCCCGGCGCGGCGCGGGATCCTTTAGGCACCAACCCCCGAGCGGCGGGAGGCGGAGTCGGGTTGAGTGCCGAGACAAGACATCCTTTGTGATTGATCAACCTTTTTTATATGGGGTATTTTCCAAACAAAAGTCTACATTTATATAGATGTCTTGAAGTGTTTATATACTCTAACTTGTTTTCTTAGATCTTCAAGGAGCGTCGACTCCATAGTTCGAAGAATATGGTCATCCAAAGTGCAATTGGTCAGTCCACTTCCATGAGATTATTTCAACGAGTCTACTGATACTGCTTTTGAAATCCCTAACAAGGTTCCAAAGGTCCTCAAGCATCGGAGGACCAAGTCCTGACACGTCCTGACCAGTGTTTGTGTTTTCCAGTGCGTTGGGTCCCTTTTGATCTGGGACACTCCCGCCTGGAATCCCGGCTCAGGTCAGAGCCACGAGAGCTGTTGGACCGCGCAGGCGACGGTGCCTGACGACTCCGCCGGGCAACAAAGAAAGGCATGACCTTCATCGCTGGACTTGAACAAACATTCCCAGAAAATATGTCTGTATATATATATATATATACACCCTCGGGATCCACATCCCCTGCGGCTGCCGGCGGAGGTTTCGACGTTCTGTTTGGCGAACGACAGAGTCAAAAAAAAAAGGAACCCTGTCTGCCGGCGGATGAACAGTGCAAAACATGGGAAAACCACCTGTTTTGCAGAAAAGGGTCATGGATGAGTCCTCCTGTCAGGACCATGCCATGCACTTCGATTTCAGGGAGTGTACATGGTCTGACGACATGCGACATCAATATTCATTGTCAGAATGCCATTTCTATAACTAAGGGACATACATAATTACGAATTAATATATATATATATATGCACATACGCATCCAATCTGAGTATACATATATATTACATATATATAATACAGAGATAGCATGACAATGTGATGCTATGGGATTTGTTCTCAAAGCACTGGTCACTGGCAGCATGAAAACCACTGGCTGGGCGTTCCGAACCACGCCGCGCTCGATGGATGACCCAAACGCGAACTTCTGCATGGGCGAATCCAGCCGAGCCAACCTGAGCCAGACGGAGCCAGGACGGAAGAGCAGTACAAGATCGAAGCATATCGAAACTACGGAGATGGGATTGGAAGAGGAGTACTTCCTTTACCCACTTGCTGGCCAGTTCTCGCGAGAACATGGACCATGACCACTCTCAAGGGTGACAGTGGCAGTGGGAATTCCTGTTTGACTAGGTCCAGGTGGGGTGTACCCACTTACCCAAGTATACTTGAAGAAGCACTTCGAGGTAAAATCTTCATGTGCTCTAACCAGTGGATCCAAGTCTTGTGCGTCTTGTGTACTCTTGCTGGCTTGTCATCTACAGTATCTCAAAAAACACTGCATCTGATGTAGGCAAAAACCACCATAGAAGAACATTCATTCGCATGCACAATTGCCTCGAAATTCCACCTAAAACCTCGCCAGATTTATGACATCACCAGCAGCCATCCCTTGCGAATGCTCCGTTAAATTGCAGTCAACCATTCATCAAAACATATCCAAACCATCCTACCACACCTGATTTAAAGAAGTCCTCAATCTTCTGCCCGCACCGCGAACGAACGCCCTCCGCGTCTTCTTCGACTCACCAGCGACCCGGGTTGAAAACACCCGGGTCACGCGTACGGTGAAAAGGCGCGTGACCCGGTCTGCATCACCCAGGAGTCCGGACGACATGCGACTCAAGTACTGCTCCACGGCCACCTGTGAAGCCGGTCCCAAAGGCTCGCAGAGGTGAGATCTGGAGAGTGCCGTGCAGCGCTGTCAACGGAAGGGCTGCCTCTCTCATGAAACGCCTTTTAAACAATGCCAAACCAAAACATATCGTCCACGAAAGGAACGCAGGGTGCGAGCAAGCTGCTATAATCGAGCATGTGCTATCCGGAGATATTTGTTTCATTTCTCGATGCAACGGTCACCAACGCGACGAGAAATGACGTCAATGATGAGTCTGGACCATATGCTGGCGACCAGGGTCCCATATTGCTCTGGTGATTGCAGCTCTAATACAGCCTCAGTAATGCCCAGAAACAGGGGTCATTGGGAGTGTTGCACAGGCTACAAATACTTCGTGCTATTCTTCACGATGCTTGACAAACCATGAAAGATTTTCATGCTCTTTCGGCTCACTTCCGACTTGAAGAGTACATCCCTGACCATCCATGCAACAAATGGCCCATCGCCCCTTTTGCGGCCTGTTCCTTCGCAGGCATACCACGTCCTGGTGTCATGGAACGGGATTGTGATCGCCTGACAGGCACGGAGATGGCGGGCTGCGACGGCTTGGAGATCGAACTCGGACCGCAGCAATTGATTCAGCACGGTTTTTGCTTGCAACAGCCAGCTGCTGTGATTGATCTGAACTTGCTGAGTTATTCCCTGTTTATTATATGACTATAGACATAATATATTATGTCTAATTCTGCAATTGTGATTGCTTAAATTGTTGTTCTCAAAAGCACAAATCATGCACACTCTTGTGATCATCAAAAATCATCAAAAAAAATCAAGCCCGGCACAACTGCAAGTTGACTGGGACTTCAAGCACTCAATGTGTAGAACACGCGCAAAAAAACGAGTGAAGAAAGTGTGCGAGCGCCAACTAGCTACAGCTGAGCAAAACAAAGTATACTGTAATTTTCCGGAATGCGCCCTTTGGGCCCTTTGGCGTGTTTTTGCCCTCGAAGTGTCTGTGGCCTGGAAAGAATATGCAACACTGCTCGAGCCAAATCTGCTTAGGCTTGTCTGCCCCAAAAGTGCCAAGTTTAGGCCCCTGCAGAAGTGTAAGACATGTTACGCAAAGCAGCAGCATCCGATGAACACATATTTTAAAGCAACAACAACCAAAACCACAACCACAACAATAACAACAACAACAACGACAACGACAACGACAACAACGACAACGACAACAATCCTTTCACCAAAGAGGCACTCTTCTTTGCTTCACGCCTCCACGTCTCGCGGACGCGCGCACGCGCGCTCGTCTCTCGCGGACGCGCGATCGGGCGGAACGGGGCGGAACGGTGTGCCTCGTGGGTGTGCACTGTGGCGTACACTCTCGAGAACAGCTTCGGGACCTCGAGTCACGGCATCGAGTCTGAAGGCCTGTTAAAGGGGCCCCCGAGTCGTTCGTGACTTGGGCGAGGAAGATGACCGACGTGACGTAAGTAAGAACGAAGATTTGGAACTCTAAGATACCTGGGAAAACTAAGACTTGCAAGAAACCAGCCAATTCTTGCCGTCTCTGAGAGGTGCTTCTGAAACAAGAGCAACTGCTTGTCTGGTGTTGCACGACGGGCCAGCACGCATGCCGATGCGCAAAGTACAGCGTTGCAGTCACAAAGCAACGAAAAACTAGGACGCTACTAGGAGCAAAGGGCATCGCTGGGCTCCTGGCCTTACTAGGAACAAGGACGCTACTAGGAGCTCTTTCGTTTTAAGACTCAGAGAGTAGCTAGCTTTCAGACCCAGGTGTGGTGCGGTGGCTCATCACCAGGTGTGGCGCGGAGTGGCGCTTTTCAAATGAGGACCACATCGGAACGCCAATACCACCAATTGCCAAACGCCATGTCATTAGATTGGGGTGCTGCTGATGAACACCTCGAATTTCTCCCAACCATCAGCCAATAGCTGGTTGGCTGGACCGGCTGGACCCTAATAGTGGCGTCCTTGCTCCATTCGTAGCGATGCCGCCCCTGGTAGCGTCCGATCGATCCTAAGCCCCTGAGCCTTGGAGGACCCGGGGATACCCAGCCACCTTTCGGACCCGTGACACGCCGCGGAGGACGCGCGCGCCGGATCGGTACCGGTGTGGCCTCGAGCGCTCCTCGGTGCGGAGGCGTGGGCCAAGAGGGACCGTGGGCTGGAACTCCTTGCCCCAGAACTGCCTCAGCATCCCGCGTGGGCGCACGGCTTGTCACATGGGCGCACGTTGGGCACGAAGGTTCGAAGATCCAGTCCGAGTCTGGGATTGGTGACTGGAACTGAAAGGGATCTTGACTTTCTGTGATGAACCACGGAGTTTCCGCTCGACCGATGTGGGGACGATGATGTGGTTTTCACCACCGCTGCAACGACCTCTCAGGACCACCGTACCTGGATGTACCACACCCTCCAAACCTCCGCCACCTGGATCCACAAACTGATCTGAAACATATGAATCGAAACACAAAATTCATCCCGCGCAGTGGAAAATCTCAAAGCTTGTCCTGATTGGGTACCGGAAATCTTGCTGGCCTTAAGTGACTGCCAACACAGCATTGTTTTGAATCTCCTCAATACATCATGCATGCGATTTCTTGTTGACCAAATCCCGTTGATAGATCAAATCCAGATTTCATTCATAGATTGCATCATAAATCCCATTGATAGATCCGTTCACAGATTTCCAACAATCCGTTGGATCCACCCTAAATTCAAATGCGAGAAGACAACCCGATCTAGTTGTCACATCTAGTTGACTCATGTTGACTCCTCATCCCTATTTATAAAGAAAGAAAAACACTGTGGCTCATGGCTCATGATTCATTACCTATCATCTGGAGCAAGCTCAGCTCCTGGAACACCCAGGGCCTCTGACTTGCTCTCAGTCTCTTCACGCAGGCTGGCCGACCAGTCATGAGGCCGGTAGCACTCGCGACTGGTGCGGCGCTCACGTTCGCCTCGATCCGAGCATCGCTCGAGCGAGGCTGGTCTTCGCCTATTTTGCCTGGTCTTTGGGAAATACACTCCGACTCACTAACATGGAAGTGGATGGCATGACCCGTTGGAAGACTACTTTCCTTTACAAACAGGAGGTTTTCCACTTCCATGTTAGTGAGTCGGAGTGTAATCACATCCAACACATGCGAGACATTTCCGAGCGCCGACCTGAGTTTCCCCATATGTACTGTGGTCTATTTTTTGTTTTTGGAGGCTTCCAAGCAACGTGCTCCAGCCGCTTTCCTGGCAAAGGCCTTTTAACGCTATCCCACTATGTCAACACACATGCGCGTCCAACACTTCCCAACATTCTCCTGCTGGTGCAGGATGCTGTCCATCCACATCAGGTCTACCTTCTGTATATCCGATCACAAGTAGGTAGACTAGTGGATATACAAATGATGATGATGATGATGATGATGATGATGGTGATGGTGATGGTGATGGTGATGATGATGATGATGGTTTGTACAGGCCCTTTTGCATTTTTGCCACTTCATGGCTTCAGACTCGATGGCACCCACACAAGCCCTTTAGGTAGTCCTACTTCTTTGGACGGTTCTGTCAGCCGCACGGTCTCCCGGGTTGCCTACAAATAGCCCATGGTCGCCCCTATGAATGAATTGTAGGGGATCTCGGGGATCTACAGGCAGGTCTCTTTTGCTCGGATGTCTTTCCTTAAGGGGACAAAGCTCCATTGCTCCTCCTTGTCCTCTCAGAATCGCACGTCCACGGGAAGCCATCGTCATGGCCTGGGGGGAAAGCTCAGGAAACAAAACAACGATGGGTTCGTGGGTTAGACATTGCACGATATTGCAACAAGTCAATGCTATCAATGCTGTATATAATATGGTTTGTTTTAAGTGCATTTGTTCTGCGTTGGCCATCGAATGCAATGTGGGTGTGTTGCTTTCTTGCGTTTGTCAATCCTTGAGTGGTTCCATCAAAGACACATTGGTAGATCCACCTTGGAGATTAGAGCTGATGTTTACACAAACATATATCCAAACACTCCTTTTAAACTCTGGACTTCCGTCAAGGAGGGTCGCAAGCACAGGAGGCGACTTTACCAAGGTATGTCCAACATCATAGGCAGGGAAAAAGAATGCCAGCCAATCTACTACTATGCTGTATACACAGTTATTTAATCATTTAAGAGTTATGGAGTTGTTACGCAGATTATATAACCAGGTATCTGTTGATACCTGTGAACGATGTTGGTGTCCAAGATGTTGCATACTCGCCAATTTCTCGAGAAGGTTACATTGTAGTTCTAGAAGTGCTATCTTTGCTTTTCACCATGCCATGCTTCAGGGTTGTTTTCAATGGTCAACCAGGCAACAGAATTTCAGGCTCCCACTGCTTTCTGGCAAGTCTCGGATTGACAAACTCTATGAAGTCTTGAGAGGATCAAACAAAAATCCACTATGCCCACTGCCAAGCTCCACGTCCTTCCTGAAAAAAACAGTGCCTTCTTCAGTGCCTGAACTGCTTAACCTGCAGAGGGTCCTTAACAGTGCCTTCCTTCTTCCACTGCTCACTGCGACCCTCACTGCGACCCTCACTGCGACCCTCCGTGTGTCACCTCCGATGGAGCCACATTGGGCGTGGCCGCTGGAGTGGGCTGTGAAGCCACCCAGGCCTCCAGTACAAAGCACTCGGAACACCAGTGGAAGTGAGGAAGTGGGGCATGGCATGGAAAGATAAGTATATTAGAGTATATCATATAATATATATATATATTAATATCAATATCTTAATATATTGTTTTTCTCTTTCGGACATATGACCGAGTGACCTGTATGTTGGATCACCAACCACTCAAAACATGATCTTTTCCGAACAAAGCAGAGGTCAAGTGGCTTTAGGTGATTAAGTACCTATGCAGGAGAGTTTCCTTAATAACGGCACACACGTGCTAGAGTGGCATAACTTCCCCAAACCCTACAAGTACATATGTGGGCTGTTTCGGTGCATTGTTTGGAGCGAGAGTACTACGTATGGGTTGTGATGTATTGAAGAAACGAAGACTTGGTACCGACAACGACTGACACTTGCTTTCCTTTCCTCTGCTTCCCTATGCCACAAAAACTGCGCCTTCCAAAATCTCAGTTGAATCCTCTCTGGCCTTCCCACAACACTTCTCCTAACTACACAATAACATGTTCGCATTCTGCGACCTGAGTCAACCCAGTGACTATTGGCACGACCGAAACCCTGCGTTTATATCCCAAACATTCCATGTATGGAATCTTTACCTACATTGACCCTGTTTCACAGCTTAAAGCGACCGCCGTGGTCGGCATGGGACTTCAGTCCCATGGCATTGTTTGGGAACGGACACCCCCGACTTCCACCCACCGTCCCCGTCCCCTCCTGCAAGGAGGGCTCGAGCTTTCGGCATCGCACGGGTGAAGGAGCCTGGGGGACGGTGTGGGACTGGTTGGTGTGTTCTCCTGCCTGCTGGGGCCCTCTCCTGTTGTTCTCCTCGCTTCCAACACCCATCTTCTCCTAAGATAACCTATTTGAGAACCAAAAGTCACTTTCCCTATTATGACAGGATTTCCTTAGTTAGCACACTATATGTTCGGCTCCTCTCTCACGTTTCTATTGCACATCATTGCACATCGATCTCCTTGCGGGTGAAAATCACCCGACACACGCGATTCTACGACCCCAGGAAAAGAACACACACACACACTCCCTCCGCCATGCACCCCCCTTTGAGTCCACCACCAGGATTGGATGCGTTGGCTCTGGTGTCGCCTCGCAGTGGGGGCGAGACGTGATCTGTCTGATGTAGACACTAGAGGACGCAACGCAACGAACGGAGCAAAGGGCATCCCTACGAACGGAGCGATCGGACGCTAAAAAGGGGGCTTCTGGCATCGCTACTAGGAGTATTCTTGCTTTCTAGTAACTAGAAGCTACTAGGAGCAAAGGGCATTGCTACGAATGGAGCAAGGACGCTCCTAGTAGCTCCTGGCATTACTACTGGGAACAAGAAGCCATTAAGACTAGAAGTGGCCAATTAGATAGGCCCCATCAGGAAGACAGCTGTCCTCTACAAACTGGGGGGTCCACTTCATTCCACTTCCATGTTAGTGAGTCGGAGTGTCGGAGTGTATGTGTTGTTTTGTTTGTTTTGTATAAAAAGGAGAGGAGAGGGCATGAAGATTCACCAAGTCTCCAAGGGAACCAAATACGTCAGTCTTGTTGCAACATGAGAGCGCCAATGCAGGGTCTGAGGTTATTCCCTTGCTGATCCAATCAAAGCAAGATATGATAGATAGGTCACCCACATGGGGGGTGCAGTTTCTTGTCCATTCATGGGTTTTGTGGGCTTCTTTACTCACGCTACGTAAGGAGGTGTCTAACGTGGTCAGTGGGTCTTTAAAAACCATAGTGATGGTTTGCAACTCAACGAATTCACAGAAGACCCTGGTGTTTTCCCACAAGGAGGCATAGCTCTCTTCAACCAATCTCATAAATGAGGGGTCAATGCAAATAAACATGCTGAATTTCCATCCATCTTTGCTCTTGGATTGGTGGAATGACCAATGTAAAGGGTCCAAAACCGCTTTCATGGCTTTGCATCCGCTTTTTGATTCCTTTTGATTCGAAGCACCAAACATTTCATGTCATGACCAGAGACTCACGACACCATGGTTCGGGTCAAAAAGCTTCCCTGGTGTCCATGTCGAATTGCTTGAAGTATGGACTCCGGCCCGGCCGCGACGTGCGACGTGCATGCGCACGTGGTGTCATTGCCTTCTTCTCAGCCGAGACAAGGACCTTCTTGCCCTCCTGGGGAAGGGATGACAGTTCAGATCCAGAACTGCCCGGAACGGGTTGCTGTTGCTGCCTGTCTTGTGTGGCGCGGGACGGTTGTGGCGCCCCATGGGGCCCTTCGAAGATCCAACCATACCTGGCAGAAGCCTTTGGGAGATCCAACCCGGGGTTGCCCAAACAGGACATCCGCAATAAAGAGACGATGTTCCTGGGTCAATGAGAAGATCCCAACTGTTGCAGCTCACTGAATCGGGGGTGGAACAGCTCACTGAAAATCGGGGCGGCCACGTGGGATGGGAACTCGGCATCTCGGTGTCGACGGTTTTCGCAGACCACATCCAGCTCTTGTATGACCTCATCCCCTTCCATATGCTAGCGGCTATGGTGGACCAGGGCGCCGCGCGGTCAAGACCCATCCCCATACCCTCCCACCTTCTTATCTCACAATCCTCACAACCCCCAATGTGTACTGTGTACTGAATCCCTGTGGAGGGCGGTCCGGCGGTCGTTGGACACGGGACTCACCCTGGCCCCTGTCTGCGCAGCCTCCTCCGGCGTGGCATTGCGCTCGCGGAGGACCATTGGACTGGCAGGATGTGTGAAGGAGCGATCCTCTATTCGAGAGAAAGAGACGGAGAGAGGCGCAGTAGAACATGCAATGCAGGATAGATAGATGTCATGGTGTGCAAAAGCTGGAGTTGGTCTCTGAAACAAAAACCATTGTCGGAACTTGGCGCATCAATCAAGGGACTCATGCGGCCATCGACCATTGGCCAAGCACAGATGAAGGGCCATCATTTTATACCAACTCTGTCAAGAATTCTGACGACCCTTTACGCAATTTTCCGATCATAGAAATCATGCATATATATATACACACCTGACCAATCAAAAGGAAACCCTGTAAAAAAAAAATGTAAAAACGTAACACTAAACACACCATCTGTGCGTGGTGGGACCTTTCGCCCCCTTCCAGGACACCGCCGCCCCTCCAGGCCACCTGGACACCTCTGCCATGGACTTGGACAGGCGACCGGGGGACGCGGGACGTTTCGGGCGGAGCTGCAACGGCTGCGGGAACGCTGAAGGGTGGCTTTCCGCGGGTGGGTGGGGAGTGAGTGAGTGGGGAATCTATGGGAATCTAAGCAAATATACACTTATGTAAAAATATACTATATATAATCACAATATACATATTATACATATATTCTATTATGTATATACTTATAAATATGTATATATGAAATCATCTGAAGAGAGGGATTGGTGGTCTGGGCCTCGTCCCAGAAGCGGCGGGACGAAGGTACGAAGGTAGTTGAGTTGAAGAGGACCGAAGATCAGCCACATTGATCGTGCTATGACATCCTCAAAGGAAAGGGCAGGTGTCATCTGGGTACGGCTCCAAACTGGAAGGTGTCATCGAACTCCAATTGTTGGGTCTTCAAATTCCAAACAATCCATGCAGTCTTCAAGTCTTGATGTCCTCACTTGGTGCTGCCGACGGTCCAGTTGAAACCCAAAAATACACCAGCTGCTGGCGGCCGACCACGCCAAAACCGACCGACCGACCGCGGAAACGGGGTGTGTCCAGCCTCGCAAGGCCATGGCCCAGGTGCCCTAGGCCGCTGCCGAGCTCCAAGACTCGCCTGCTCGCTCGGCGGTGGTGATATCGCTCGGCAGAGGGGGAGCTGACCGAACCCGGAAGACAGAGCAAGAAGTATCTAAGATCATCTAAGCATCACATTGATTTGTAGCATTGTGTGACTCATTGTGTGATATTGTTCCCGACTATTGTCTGTAGCATTGATGCTATGAATTATATTGAATTATCATTGATTTGTAGGGAAGAATGGACAAGAGTTGGCCCTGATTTTCTGCCTTGAGATAGGGGTCGGTGAACCAAAGGTAGCTATATAGTTAGTAAGTAGCCAGTAGCCAAGCCTCTATGTCTGTACTTCAATGACTGGATTGACCAAAGTATGTCCATGCAGAAAGTGCATTTTCGGACGAGGGGAGATTTGATTGAGGCCCCCCGAATGAAGAATCCTTTTATCATCTTTATCAAAGCCTATGATTCAATCCACCAGCTTCCAAATACACATGTTGGCTATTCGATGTTAAGTGAAACAACCGCTTGTCCCGCTAGGTGTCTTTCCAGAGTTCATGTGACAAATGGCAACACTTCGAGTTTCACCACACAAGAACTAGAGAAAAGTGGGTCGCATCAGCGATCTATCGCATGCGCGATCTATCGAGATCGGGTGGAACAAATGCGAGCAAGTCCTCCGCCGGTGGCTGTCCCAAGACGTCAATCCTTCCAGGGTCGAGGGTCCGGAGGTGACTCACCTGCCATGCAGCTTTCGAGCTCGCTCTGGTGCCTGACAAGTCGGGTTCTCCATCACGGGGAGGAATGGGGAGGAAAAAGGGCGCCAGAGCGCCTGACTTGACCATCTGGATTGACACTTTGGGGGATCATTCCATAGCCATGCAAATCCGCAAAAGGTTTTGGGAAATAAGATCCGAAGCGTCCGCTGAAAACCACAACATTCCGAGAGTTTTCAGGATGTTCATTGACTTTCGGGTAAACTGACCAGTAATTAGTTGATTTTCTGCAGTGCAAATCCGAGTCGCTTGGCTAAACTGCGCACGAAACGCGGTCTTTCGGTTTCCTTTCCACCCAACCACCCAAACCCTGAGCAGGTCGGCCTGCAAATAGCGCAAGAGCACAAGCGAGGCGTGCCAAATGTAGGTCCCATCCGGCCGCTCCTGGGACTTTCCATTGAGGTCAGAATAGGTCAATAATGTAAAAGATTGAACCTTTGTGTGATCGAGTAAAGGGTGGATCTGATACATTCCCGCTGAGGACCCCTCATCGCGCACGTGGGTGGTCGATTGTTTTCCCAACTACTAATTATGCGACACACTCACGCAAACAGTCAATGATCAAGGACTTTGGAACCCTTGGTGGAGATGGCAGCTACATCCACACCAGATATTCTACCATGTCTCAAGTGAGAGCTGTCATACTCCATGCGTTTATTTTCCAATGGTTTTCACAGCGGAAAGCACACATCTGCCGGGAAACAATGTTTCTTTGGTAATTAATTAGCGCTTCGATCTGGAACTTCCTGGCCACTGGGTTTCAAGGGCGAAGCTGCTGTTTTCTAAAGCCGGCAACTACATTCTACATTCTTCTAGCATTGACCTTAACTCTTTCTGTATTTGTTGTAGCGTGTGCATCCCCCGTAAGATCAACTATTCACACGACAACAGGTCATTGTGCGGCGTCTGCACACGGGCGAAGCGCAAGCGCAAGACATGCGCTAGCACGGGTGTGACCGTGTGGTCCATCTTCACTGCACTAAGAGATGTGGAGAACATGTGTATTGCATTGGCAAGTCCATGTAGATTGCACATTTCAGTGATGTGACATCCGTGTTCATGTCTCATTCGTCCGAGGCCCTCAGCCCAGAAAAGTAGTCTAAATTCGCCTCCTTTCGGCCGAAACGATGCGACAGATAACGGATCGAAACCGAACGTTATTCTCCCCACCTCTCGCAGCGGGTGGGGGCTGGTGGGGACTGAAACCTACCAAACCCTACCAAAACAACACGGTGCGTTATCAGCCGTGGGCCAACTACGTGGCCTTGGATTCATGTGGCCTGGTCCATTTTTGGGAGCCATACCCTGTCATAGAAATGGTCTAGAGAAAAAAGAAAACAAACACAGGGAGATAAACCCACTCAACATTGCATCCAATGACCAAGTCGAAAGCATCAAGAGAAACTGGTCGCCAGTCAAACTGTAAGAATCCCGTCAGTCACACTATCTGCCAAAAAGCTGCCAATCTTGTTGTGTTTCATCTCCTCTAAGATTCCAACTTTCCCTACTACAAACCCACATTTTTCAACAAGGATGGTTAGAGTACTTTGGAGCCAACCACCCAAGAAACGCCAACGATTTATGATGTCTTTCCCACCTCCAAACCATCAGCAACGCAGGGGAAACCAAAAATAAACACACTCCAACCAACCTACTAGAGATGGCCTTCACCGACTTCTCCGCACCTCGAAATCATATTTGTACTTCACCGACTTCTCCGGAACCTAAGGTCCGGAGGTGTTTTCCAGTGGCGAGGAGTGGTTTTGGATTGAATCCGGTTGTGGATCTGGCTTTCCTGCGGCTCCATCGATGTTTTTTTTTTCTGGTGAAAAGCTACGACTCGGTCGAAGAAAAACTCGGGTTGAGAAGTCTTCGGCGGTCTTGAAGAAGGGGTCTGAAATTCTGTAAAAGAAGAGTTGGCTGGTTGATCTGTTTATCTCTTTGCCTGGGTTGTGTGCAATCACCACGACAATATGCGTTTATCAAACAAATATATATATATATATTGTACGTTATTGTACCATCAGGTTATACATCTGGATCTGCGTGCTCACGACTGTTCAGAAGATGGAAACAACTATATAACGTTACATGTTATTACATGTTATATACCCTCCCTGAAACAATCATGGAAGTGGAATACAGCCTGTTTGTAGAGGAAAACAGTCTTGCAGGGGGCCATGTTCCACGTAACCATGTTTGTTGGATGGAGGGTATACCTTCACTATACTTCTTGTTTCGGTGCGATACGGTATCGGTATCCAATCTGACCAACTGCTGCATTGCCTCCTTTGAGACCAGCCTATCGTGGTGTTGCAATAGCCACGACACTGTGCATCGGACTCCACACTGTGCAGCACTGAATCACTGGAAGTGAACGTCTTCGCGAAAAGAGAAGACTGCTTTCAGCATCTTTCAGCTAGTATCCTATCCTTCCTGAAACTCGGTGACAATTCTATCTTTGACCAACATCTACTGGATGACTTGCCGCAAATGTGGATGAATCCTCACAAGCCCCGGCCCCATGCCAGCACCCGAAAAAAAAAAAAAAAAAGTTGACAAAGGCGTCCAAAAGGGAAGAATTTGGGGACTGGATATTCATTTCTGCCCAGACCTGAATCCAGGACCAGGCACGGCCTCCTCCTTCTCACTCATCAACTCATCTCAGGCAGCGCGACCGGTCGCGCCATGCAGTCTTGTTCGCGCCATGGACATTCACGAGTCGATGGTACCTGATGTCACTGGTACTAGGTGCGGACCCCTGAAGCGATTCAAGACTGTGGCTCAGGAGACGTCCGACAGCGCGAGTGGACTGCAGCACGGGGATCTGTTGAGGGTCAAAACTACACCACCTGGCAATACAAAGACCGGCCTGGTTTTGTTCGTTGCGTTGTGGACCTTTAAAAATGATCTCTATACAGTTTTATATAGTTTTATAGAGATAGTGCTGGTGGTATGTGAAGATCACAACGCCTGAACTAGCCATTACGTTCAGGCACTGCTGCAGTGCTGTATATTGAAAATTGCAGATGTGTGTTTGAAGAATCTGCGTCTATTTCCTGAAGCTTTGGAACGTGTCCAAGCCACTTGATCAACACAGCTTCTTTTAGTGCTGGGTCCGGGATTCCTGTCAGCCTCAGTCCCCTTTATGATTGGAGTGCTCGGAGTTTCTCAGTAGCCTCAGCATACTTCGGGTTTCATCGCCCCACCCGCCCACCCGCCCTCAGCAGTTGTCTGGGATGTCGATGGACTACCAACTCTTTGGTCCGACCATCCGACCAATCCCGATCTCCAGGTCATCACCGAGGTTATCAAAGCCCAGACACGACCCATGGGACTGCCATAATAGGACTGCCGATCAGTTCGGGTGGTTGACTGGGGGTCAATTGATCGGCATATATATGGCAGTCCCATGGAGTGTCTGGGCTTTGATAATTCTTTGATGGTGCCGACTCGCAGCTCTCTCGGTCCTTTCATCGCGCTTCGCGCCGCGATCACACAGCGTTTCGGTCCTTTTTGCACGTGTCCAGAGGAAGGAGTCATGCAGCTCGAGTCATTGGGCGCAGTCGATCGAGTCATTGTGCCAAGTTCATCCATCTGTGGGGTTCGATCACCATTGGGTGCCAAGGGTACTGGAAGATGCTGGCATTAGATGTTGGGTTTCCTGCTATTTGGGGCTTACATGTTCCAGGCCACTGTCGCCCGACGCACACGGCTCAGTCAGAAGGCGGAACTTGGAAGAGGAAGAGTATCCTTGGAAGACAGTCAGCAATCTACATGACCACCTTGGACCGATCAACCCCAAGCCTTGAGCTCAGCCACTCAACAATTTGTCCAAAAGAATGAAGATTGTACTAACACTCAAACCTTGCACTGTTCAGGTCAAGTTCAAAACCAAAAGCATTCATGTTCTTGCAACGTTCATCCTGCACACCTCCTCGTCCGACCCCACGTGACTCGTCCTCGAAAATGAGATCTCATCCGATCAATGCAAGAAAACTCATGAGTATCTGAAGACATTCACATGAGTATACATGAGTAATTATACAATCCACATGAGTATCTGTCAGTATTCATAATAAGTATCTGAATGTATCCCGTCCCGACCCTGTGAAGCAAGGTCCACTTCTCTGGGGCCCTGTGCGAGGTCGGTCCGGTCGGCCGCGCGGGGGGGGCCCCACCTCCACCGGTGTCGCGCGGAAAGCGCGACCGTCGAAGCTCACAGGTGTGGGCCCTGTTCCGGTCCAGCTGCTCCGGTCGCACCAAGACTTTCAGAGCACCAAGTGGCACCAAGCTTTGATTTGATGGTTTCCTTGACCGCAAGAAGACCCACGGAAAAGACGATAGATACAGTCAGCCAGTGGCTATAATTCCAAACCCGAAGCCCCTTGCACCAGGGTAGGTTGACTTCCCAGGTAGTCTGTTCTGTTGATTCTTGGTGGTCAACCAAGGTGTCCCTGCCATGACCCACAGCCAAGTAGCGCCTTGATAGAACATCCCGTGGGCTGTGGATGGCGGTTGTGGCTCTGCCAAGGCACCAACCGGTGTGTATCTTAATAGCCAGACCACCAACCAATGGGTTTTGGTCTATGCTCCTTCTTCCATTTTTTGGGGTGGGGAGGTATGAGGTCTCCGTAGTTTTATGAACAGTCACATCATCATTCATCATCCACCATGGCTCCCCATGGCTTGTGGAGTGATCCCTGCAGTTCTGGTTCTCTTCCCCTCCCACGCGGACCTGCCTCGGCTGTGGACCTGCTTATCCTGCCACAAACGGAGTCTGACGGCACGAGAACAATTCAGCTGGTCAAACATCAGTCTGAGGGTGAAGAGAGTGGGACCCACTGACATAAGGTTTCGTTTCGAAGAAGAGTGTCCGTTCCAAATGAGCCGAACAAAAACCACCAACAGACCCCGGTGGGGGGTGATTCGACTGGATGTGGTGGCTAGAAGCGAACCCCCGAGGGCCCCTCGCCTTCCCTCGAACTCGCCCTCGCCTGAACCGATGAACCGTTCGAACCGGTGGAGTCCATTCGGGGCCATTTCTGCCACCGCCCCCGGAGGACGCGTTGACGCCCGCCGGGCCAGCCCGGTGGAGGGGGAGCAGTTCTAACGCGTCATGACGAAAGGGGAGCAGTTCTAACGCTCGCTGTGCCAGTGGATCAAATGCAGAAAGCCCTTGAAAACCTGCCATGTAACGTGTGTCGACTGTATCATTGATGTCGAAATGACATCTTGAGTCTTGATGTTTGACATAGAACTTTTGCATACTTTTGCCCAACATAGACTCACGGCGTTGCAACTTCTTCTACATTCCGCAAACATCCGCAAACCAGCGTCAGGTCTTCAAAAGAGAAAGCAAGACGAAGCGCGGCTTCAGCCGGCTCTGTCGGTCTACACCGTGGGGTGGGATTTCTTCCGGTCGGTCATTGCCCGTTGTGGATGAGGAAATGGGATTTTGGGTCATTTGGATCAATTGGGTATACAGGTGTACACAGTATCTATATGTCTCATTATGTATCTATCACATTCCCACAAGATAGCAAATCTTGCCAACTAGGAACGATTCCGCTATATTCCACTATCCGGAGTTGAACCAAGCAAACCCACCAAAACACACTGTTCATGACTCCAACAGTCAGGAATCAGGATGGTGGCGTACAGGACCGCAGCGAACTCTTTTTTCCAAGCACAAGTCGCTTGGCACCGGTGACTCGTACTGTTTTGGATGACTTGCTTCCAGCTTAGTCCAGCGCTGCGAGTTGCTGCAGGGCCGAGGCCGAGGTGTAGAAAAAGAGGATCACGCCCAGTAACAGGACGGCCACGTTGACTGCCAATGTCTGCCAGTTTGGATGGCAAATCTTTGCATGACAAATCACTGGAAAGATGAAGGCCAGTGGAACGCAACAAACCGATCCGATGAGGGCAATGAAAGCATCAATCTGATTCTTCCCCAGAAAGGCCACAAATGCACATGAAAGAATCAGCACCGTCCTCATGCGATTGATTTTCCAGGTTCTGTTGCGAGACTTGGGCACATTGCTGAAACAGAGTGCTTCCACATATATCGCTGCTGGGAATAGGCAGAGTGGAACATTGAACAAGGAGCCCAATGCGAAGGCAAAGGGTATCACTCGGCCAACCTGCGAACCTTCCGGTAAGTTCGAGGTAATCACCAAATTTGTGTCCTTGCCATAGTAGGCATAGTTGACCCCACCAAACACAATAAAGAGGGCGCACACGCCCAGCAAAGTGAAGACCAGGATGGGCGCAAAGGTCTCTTTCTGTTCATGTGCGTCGTACATGGGGATCACGAAGTTGATGCATTCGAAAGAGAACACCACCGTCCCGGCAAAGATCATCCAGTGAGGCCCGCTGGATTCAATTCCAACCCCGGGACCATGTGTCATCAACCCGCTGAAGGAGTAGCCCAACAAGAAGGCCAAGGCCAGCAGCACCGTGGCGTTTGCGATGATGTTGGACACCTGCACAGGTGGAGGGTAACCAAAACCAGTTCCAGGGGTTGAGGTTGGGGCCGAAAAATCCAGGTCTGGGTATTATATAAAATTGATAAAGCCACATAAAGTCTAGACTTCCATAATCAGGGAGCAAGTCGTCTCCTAGCAGTCACCTCTCGGGTTACTTAGGGGAGTAGGCAGCGTTCGTTTGCTCACCTGAAAGTACTGGAGCTTCCGAATCCAACTCATTGGAATCACCACCAGTAGCTGCAGCAGCAAAATGCTAGTTTCAGAGGCCCAGGAAGAATAGATGCCCAAAGCTGTCAAAGCTTTATTGCAGTTCTTTGCCACATAAAGCATCTCAGCACAAACAAAGCCGATTTGAGAGAGGAGGATGCTCACGTCCACCGCCCAGAGTCCCAACGAACCCATGGATCTGCGAGCGATTTCACCGTAAGAACCTCCGATTCTGCGCACACATGTCACCAGAAGGACCATACAATAGATTTCGATTCCGCCCACCAACAACAGCAGCAAAGGTGCTACCAAAAGCCCGGTCTTTGAAAAGGCACCAGGGATGATGATCAGCGTTCCACCGATCGTGGATTTCAAAATCACCAAGACCGTGGAAAGATTGGAGGCCCCGGGCGAGTGTCCGGGCGAAGCAGCTTCCAGCTCACCAGTGCCACTCGGTGCCACAGCCGTGCCCAGCTGTGACGGATCTGTTTCTTGCTCGAGGGAGAAGTACTTCTGCATGCGGGGATCCAGCAAAGAACTGAGAAGCGACTGCTGCGCCGCAGCAAACCCTGCGCCCTGCCGGAGGAGATGTTCACGGCGGAACCCCCCCGGCTGGGCGATGTCTCTCGCTCGTCCAACGTCGGGGAAGAGTAATTCGCCTTGAGCGGTTGGAGAGCTACTGCTACGTGTGAGAGTTGGAGGACCAAGACCTCCATCTGTTTCAGTCAACTTCTTTTTCAGATCACGAACCACTTCATCTTCTGCCATGCGAGGCTAGGACATTGAATTCTAGATGTTTTAATGGCAGCTATTCCGGCAAAGGCGAATGCAGCTATTCCGCCGATGACCGACAGGCAAGAAGGCAAGAAGGCAGGCCATTCGGTGGACTGGGGGGAGTCTGAGCCACAAAGGCTGTTGGATCCAATCCTCAGAGATCGAGTCGAGAGTTACAAACGGTTTCAAGCTTTATATACCCGTTTCCTGGGCTTCTGGTACAGGTGTGTTCTTCGTCTCTATCATCAAAAATACATCGCTTCAAAAGGAAGCTGGCCTAAAAGAACCTCACTTGGCAAAGGACAGCAAATTGAGTTCATCGGGAGGATAATGCACAAGGCTGGTGCCAACTCGAGTGTCAAAAGGCCACAACACAAGATTTGACCAAACCACAAAAGCTGCAAAAGTGATTGCTGTGTGGCAGGGTTTCTGAACGAGCATCGCATCTTCAAGCTTCAAGAGACTGCCGAGAAAGTTGAAGTGGAGATCCCTACTCCATCTGGGCATGTCAAAAGGTTCTGCCTTCTAAGGGATAAGGACCATATGCATCCGTATTTCACCTGTACATTCAATGTTGTTAGACTTTGACACCATCTCTGAGCAAAGACCGGAAAACCCGGAAAATCCACCAACACCACCTCATGCTGATCAGAACGACCATGATGATGGTGCTGTTGTTGCTGCTCATGTTGATATTGATACTTCTTGAACATAATCTATATACTATAAATACTTATAAATACATATGCATACAAACATGTAAATACTAACTGTTGGTGGGGTGCCGCGGAGACCCATACATGTGTGTGTGTGTTCTACCTGGCACCTTCACTTCAACACACATAGAACCGCGTCATCATCCACATGCCGCACACATGAGAGACTGTGCTTCTCTCACTAGAGTTTTGGATTTGCATCATACCAACGAATCCTATGCTCACCAATACTGAAACATGATGCTTGAGGCCGCGCCAGGCTAACTAGGGTAGTTTCCTGTTTCTATCTACTTCAGGTTCATCTACTTCCAACCTTCTCCGGGATTGTTGTCTAAATGGCAACTCACATCAGCTTCACCTCGCCTGCAGGCCGCTTGGCACGCCGCTTGGGCCGCTTCTTCGGCTGGATCTGCCTGGTGTCCCCGTGTTCCGGTCCGGTGCTCCGATCCACGAAGAGAACGGGCGGCCGCGGCTTTCTCCAAGTACTCGTGGACTTCCAAACTGTGTTTTTTTTAAAGCTCCAAATGAACAAAAACTGGGTGACAAATATTGAGCAAAAACTTATCTAGCTCCAAAGTAGGAGATATGACCCGTTTTGTTGAAACCGTACAGTTGAAGGAAGAATTGAAGAAATCGGAACAGGACCTCTTTAAGGGAATGCTTAGCTTTCGAGACCTCGCATTGGCCGCATTGGCCACTTCAGAGATGGTGCAAACAAAAGGCCACTGGAAGACTTTGCATTAGCCGAGATGTGATGGCCTTTCAGGAGAGAGCATCTTGAACACCAATGTGATTGTGAAAAACTTACTGAACGCTCCTTGGGAGTTGGGAGTCCTTCATTTCGAGTCACACAACCTGCCTGAAGGAGTCGCTAGAGACGATGTCACAAAAACCGTTTTTCACTGTGGCCTGATGTCACAAGAAACCTCTGCATCCGTCTGGGTTGCATTTTCTGCTCGTTTTTCCCGTTGCCTTCTTCGCCATTCGTTCCAGTCCTTTCGATTCAAAGCGCACTCCGGGCAACAGATTCTGCAAATGGTTGCCTGACTTAAAGAATCAGTGCCATAAAGAGAACTGTGATTATTGTATATTATTGTGAGTCATAGGTAAACATGACTGACAAATGAACACACATTTAAGGCTTAACCTTTTCAACTCCCTGATATATGCATTTGCATTTGCTGCCTGCGGCTTTGCAAAAGCTAACACCTGCTAACATTCGCATGGCAAACTATATTGCCATATTGGGAAGCCTGGCGGTTGGAAAAAAGGGTGTTCCTGCGTGTCTGCTTGTTTACTCGTTTCCAATTCTGCATCGGATCAAATCTCGTTTGCTTTTCGCGAGTTCGCCAAGGGTCCAGGGCCCTCTGGCGACCAGGTATGGCCTTTGGCCCCCCAAGCGAGTACCAAGCGAATGTATGCACTCCCCGAAATTTCGGATACAAACAGAGGCAATAACAGTGGTATGGGATGTGTTATTCCATCCACCTCTGCCCCCATCCACTGCAATCTACAGTATTCCTGCAGTCTACATCTAGTGGCTTGGAGAAGGACAAACCTCAACAATAGACTTTTTGAGGGTCGTATAAAGGAACCACATCTGGTGACTTGTGTAAGGAACCACGTTCATACTCCCAAACCATTGCAATGTCATGTCTGAAACCGCTCGGTCCTCTTGCTTTGGCTTATCATCTTCTCCCGCCTTCTTGGCAGCTTCCTAATGAACCCAGCAGCCGATGTGCGACGAACACGGCTACTGGAGTCGCTTGTTTGGGTAGGAAGTTTGCGCCGGAGCCGCTTCCTGAAAGGTCTGGAAACAAGACACATCATGATTTACAAAGTGTATACTTTATTTGAGCCATAAGAAGTCTACTTGTGGTTTCTACTTTGTTTCAGAGGCGATTTACAAAGTCATCCCAAAGTCTACTTTGAACGCTTCATCTTTCTCACCGAAAAAAGACCGTGAAAACCAACACGAAAAGGCCCGGGTCATGATGCAATGATCTGCGAGAAAGCTAAGCCTGGCAGGTCAGAGGTAGGGCTGTGAGGTCAGAGCCATTCATGTCTGCAGGTCAAACCCTCGTATGCACCCTAAGTTTGAACATGACCTGAATAATCAGCGAAACAAAACAGCGATGCAACTAGGTGCGTGTGCAACTAGGAAGATCAGGAAGATCTAGGAAGTGTGGAAGAACCCATGATGGAACCCACTGTGCCACTACCCTCATAACCAGGATAACCCACAGCCAGGACCACTTGGTCCCCTGATGATCAAAGAAAAATGCTTCATGACCCAGGCATCCCGTCCCAGAATTTCTGGACCAGAACATCATCGGCACTTTATAGGATTCAGAAAGGAATATGAGCACTGAGCACTCACGTCACCTCTCCTCGCTCTTCACCCCTAGGAAAACCAAACGCGACGAAACATCCACCCCGAGTGCCCTCGCGCTTCTGTAACCGGCCTGGGCCTTCGCTTCAGCCTCACGCTCCTTGGGGCTTTTGCCACCAACATTCCTTGGGTCCAACGCGCCAGGTCCCGACGTTGGCAGGTCCGGAGTGCACACCAAAGAACACTGCGAAGCTCACCAACTGTGGGTCTTGAAGCACAGGCGGAAAGATCAATGACTCATGACTGTGTAGGAGCGAGGGTACTGCTCAGACCCAGTTTGGCTTCGCAGCGCAAAAAGATCCGGTTCCTAACAAAGCTAGTCACAAGATGTCACAAGAGGAGTTTTGACTTTGATGATTGCAATTCCCAAACGGTGGTTGTCAAAGCACTTTCCTGAAAGAGCCCTTTGGTTGTTGATTTCTCCTCTCAATGAAAGCCATATTGGGGAAACAAGTGCCCACCCTTTTCCTCGACCTGGCCGGCCTTTTAAAGAAGCTTCGGCTCGGTTTCGCCACAGCCCATTCGGATAGAGGGCGGATAGTTCACTAGAAACAAAACCCAAGGGTTCCAAAGACAAAGAGAAGAATGGTCTTTCTGCTAAAGACGATTGCTTTTATGTCTTTCGTAAACCACGCGCAAACCACGCCGACCACGCACTCCCCCACTCACCCAAGTTCTTTTTCAGCTCAAGTAGAGTAGATCATCGATCACCTCGATCTTGCTTTCGAAGATTTGTTGAGCCTAGGTAAAAGTTGGATAGTCACATTTTCAACACTGCCGGATGCACATCACAACCAGTCGCGGCCTAGAAGCTTTAACACACGGTGCTTCATGCACCAAAGCCGCAATCTCGACATTCGAAGTGCCCACGAACGCTGGTGAAGCGGATGTGCACGAAGTAGTGTGCCTAATCATACTCAGGCAAAGAACGAACCTATGCATACTAGAGTGCATACGTGTATTTAATAGTGTAGATCAAGAACATTAGAAAACTGCACCGCTAGTTTCTGATGCTGATGGGGTGCGGCGCATCCAACCGACATTGTCTTCATCCACGAAGCAGTGCATGTGCCTGAAGTTCAAGCCTTGGATCTTGGCAAGCACCAGAACTTCACACAGAGATCAGCTCAGGGAAAAAGGAAAGAGGACAAAAACCGGGGGGGGAAACCGTGCATGCATACAAGGGTCCGCGTTTTACTTGGAGTAAGATATGCCCAAATGCCTGGTTGCAACAAATAGTGCAGTGATTCATGTGATTGAAACAGTCCATGTCAAGGCATTTCACAATCGTCTTGCGATCAGGATGCGTGAATTTTTGGTCGCAAAATAAAGTGTGGCTTGCCAAGCCTGCACACATGTGTACCAATGGACACAAAAAAAGGATATTCTCACGAGTGCATGCATGCAAGGCAGTTATAGAGCTAGGATATTGAAAACGGGGTTAAGGCTGCCAGCCTTTCACTCATGTGGTTCAAGAGCACGTGGGTTCGTGCAAAGAGCATGCCCTCTTTGTAGATCTCATCAGCTTGTTGCTGTGACCTAACTCTTGGACCACAGCAGTCAGTTCCAAATGGCAGCTTTTAAGCAGAGACACCCGCAATGACCCTTGCCAAATTTAATTGCATACAGAAGGCAAAAATCGTGGAGCTGCCTCAGCCAGATGCATAAATCTTGCCAAAGATGTCCTTGGAGCGTCACGCGCACATGGAGGCAAAATGAACATGGCCGGTAAAGCAGCATCAACCCAACCGCAACCAGGTAACATGCACACTGACATCTCCGCAAGCCGCTCAACCAAAGGGTAGCGCTCTGCTGCAACACGCAAAGCACTTGAAAGCCACAGCTGTATGCAACGATTATTGTAAGCTTTCGCTGTCATCAATATTTCTCCACCTTTCTTGACAACCTCATTGCACACTGCACTGCCCCGGCTCGACCCACGTGCAACAAGACCCGTATTGATCACGAGAGCAAGAACGAACAAAGCAATTGGATCCAAGTTGCCAGTTTCACCGTGAATGGTGGTTGACTGCATGGCACTCTGGCAGCCTTGCAGAAGTGTCGGAAGTTCACAAAGGCGTTGTCCATGCGCTCCTGCGCATGACCAAAATCACAAACAAGGGCCTGCATGCATGGAGCCTATGGAAGTTTTATGCATTCGTTATCACGGTCCTGAAGGCTAAGCGCTGCTGGGTCGCCAAACATGTCAGTGTCTTCAAGGAGTGTAATCCTCGGCGCGCAGGCGACCTCGAGCGATCTATGCATGGTTTTTGGGTCTACCCATCGAGATAGCAGGCACGCAATGCATGCATGCCAAAAGTCAAACTGCTTCCATTGCAGCCATACATCAGCCCAAGGTTTATGCAGTGCATTGAGCAGAAGGCGATGCATGAATTATCAAAGCCCTTCAATAGGAGCAACGGGCCTCAATGCGTGCCGATCAAATATATTTTGATAATTGCGCTTCCGACCTATATGTGAGTTTTGCCAAGTACGGAGGAGCTCACTTGCGTGCGCATGTGTAAAAACTCCGCCGTAAACTCCGCCAAGGTGCTGGGCCCCTGCAAAGGCATCTCAACCCGCAGGAATTGCATAAACGTGTACTGCCGTTGCCACAAAGGACTTGACTCCTGGATGTTATAGTATTTGCAATCCCCACTCGACAAAGCCGGACACATGAAGCACACAGGCTTGTTTCTTCCGGCCGTCCAGCTTGAGTTGAACCTGAATACCTGTTTGTGCCAAAGCCAGTCTCCACGACATTCGACAACCTGAAATCTGTGGCCTGTAATTGGCTGCCCAATGCGATCACGAAACTTCCCTTCCAAAGTCTCTCCATTAGGGCCACAAGAAGGGTATCGATCTTCGTACAAGCAATTCAGGCTCCAACAAAGCCTTGCAAAAATCTTGTTGAGAGTGATGTGCTTGTAGAGCAATCGTTCATCAAGCGTGCAAACAAGCCATCTTGATGCCCTCGAGTTCCGAGGACGAAAGTGGACAATTCAAGAAAATGCCTAAGGCTTTATGCACGGGCTGGTGTGCAATCTGTCGAACACGACAGCTGTCCCCGTAAATGCCCAATGGGATGTATGAATCTTCAGAACTGTTCACTGCCCATTGTGTGCCTCGAGCTCTGTGTTCCCTCCAAAAAGTTTCAACCTCTGCGGTCCCAATCTCAATCCCAACTTCAGCCCACAGGTACCGAATCAAGCTGAAAGGCTCCAACATTTCTATGTCGATCCACTTGAACCCTTCTTTGCATTTGCGATCGGCCACAGGAGCACGAATCTTGACGATCTCCTTGGAATTGACCATGGACCACCAGATTTTATGACACAAGCTAGCGCTGTATCTGAGAATATTACATTATCGATCGATCGATCTATTACGCAGCAAAGTTTCCACAGGAACATTGCAAAAGCGGAAAAAGTCTCGAGTGCAGTTCCACTTGGATTTGAGACCCAGTCGAAGGGTTGAGCTGCTGGCCCTGTCACGCCCGAAGTCCTGGGTCAAAGGATATACGATAGGGAGTCACACGCACACATGCATGGATCGGACATGTTCTACAAATTGCAAAGGACAGTGTCTCAATCAATGGTTATTTTTCCGAGGTTCTTTGCAGTGATTTTTGCAGTTCCGCATGCACTGTTTGATGCTGCTGACCTCACTGCATTGGGAACACTCGTTTTTGGATCACCGAACTTTTCCACAGATTCTTTCTTAGGGAATTCCAAGGAGACACACGCATGCAATATTTGCACACTGCATTGCGCAACTCGCTATTAGATCGATCGATGATATGGCACTCTCGACGTTGCAGTGAGATTCATCCAAGGAACGGCACCAGCGACATCGTCAATGGCATCAATCACAAAGGAGGAGAACCGCCGTACTTGGTGTTCGTCGTGTTGGCCTGCACGTGTGCAGTTTGGAGATTGGGTGAATAACTGGGCAAAGTGACATGGGTAGTATAGTATAGTGCGCAATCGATTGATGGACCACAACTCGTACTCCGACAACTCCAGCACCGGTGAGATTTTTTTCTCAAAGCCAACCCCATTTCCTTCAGTCTAGAAAGATATCGATCGACATCGATCTATCTAAGTTCACGATTGTGATGAATGTGCATGTCACACACATCGAAATAGCAGGTTCGAGTCCCGAACACAACCCCACAAATGTTGTGTCCGATTTGGACGGCACTATCCCGCTATAGGCATTTTGCACCAGCTCCCCAAAAAGCAACGCATCTGTGTTTTTTTGGTATCATCATTGCATGACATATTTTTCAAAATTGGTGCACACAAGGGAATGATGCCCGGCGGCTACACCACTAGTTCATTCTGTTCTTGGCATTTTTCCAAGATTTGATGCTGGCACTCGCTTCATTGGCACGCTTCTCCATTTGATCGACCTGGAAGCGATCACACGCAGATCAATATAGAAAAGTTGCAGCTTGTATTGAGACGATATCAATAATATGTTCAAACAATTGGTATGCGCCCAGCCTGGTCCCTTTCAAGGCAATCAGACACCAAGTCCTTTTGCGCCTTGAGCTCCTGTTTGAATGCCCGCAAGGACTCGAGCACAGCCGCTTTGAGCGATTCGGACCTTGGCGACACCCGGCTTGATCAGACTTATCCATGCATGCATGGATCGAAGGTGTGGTAAGAAAGTCAGTGATCAATGATGATCAATGATCGTAATCAACATTTTTCCGGATTCAAAACGCACTTGTCGACATTTGCATGAATATATTCATGGATAAAACAAGGTTAATTAATCATTGAAAGCAGGAGTGGGGCACTGGGTGCAGATTTGGGTTGAAGGCGATTAGATGCAGCCCAGGCGCATCGAATCTGTGTTGTTCTCATTGCGGCTGATCTCCGCCAAGCATGCGACCAAGTCGTTGAGAGCCTTGACAGCATAAGCAAGGAAAATTGACCAAAAAAATCAGAAATTGTCAGAAGCAGTGCATGCCCCTACCAATTGGCAATGATCTCACTTGTGCATGCACGCGCTAATATAAAGTAGTTTGACTGCGCACTAGTCTGACAGCACAGTGTGCAACAGTGTTTGATGAAGTTTGAAAGCCTTCTTTGCTTTGTTGCGCTTCTCTTGCTTC